GTCTTCGTGAGAAAGCTATCAATCTTGGAGAGGATCCAGATAAGTTCGTTACCATTACTGAAAAAGATAAGCTCGATTCCATAGCATTCCGTGATAGAATGCAGACCGATGCGAGAATGTGTGGTTATGCAAAGGAGGCCGAAGAAGATTCCAGTAAATATATGGATATGACGGTGCGAGAAAGATTAATAAGTGAAGAAATAATCTGTCGTTCTCTTGAGGAAGATGGAATCACCTTATCATGGCTGGATACCAACGAGGAATGGAAAAAACAGTGAGCATACTCCAGGCAAATGGCATGCTATGGTAAGTTTATATGCATATAAAATAGATGCAAAGCATTCTCACTTCGTGAGAGGAGTGAATAAGGTAAATTTTGCAGGTAAGAGCTTTGATATAGGGGAATTTTTTGCTCCTACAAACTAGTTAATATAAAAATTTTCAGTTAAAAAATATTATGCAAACTCTGTGTTATATATACCCATATGTAGCCATATATTCTCTTTTCCCGAGCATGGGAGGAAAAAGCATAATTAATTTCGATTTAGAAAAATATTTTTATAGTGTATATAACCTAAAGAATTACTCATAACCTATTCGACCTACTATTAGATTATGTCAGCCATCGCAACTAAAATTGTTGAAAAATACAACCTTACCTCTAAAACGAGTGTATCTAAACTTAGTCAATACACCTCAGAGTTTCTCGAGAATCTCACAGATAATAGGAAAAGAAATCAAGCACGAAGGCGTCTTCGGGATGGATTCAAATTTAGCAATGAACAAGTAAGTATATTAATACCTAATCAAAGAAGTGATAAAGCTAAAGTCAAGCATAAAGTGTCCTGCTCTACAGTAAATCTTGCTGAAGTTAGTTATAGAACGACTACACCCTCTGATAGTTACCAAGTTCTTGTCTTAACTCCACAAAATTCAGAAGAAACTATCGGAGAGATGGTGCATCGATTTTTACGGGGTAAGCTTAGTATTAGGGATATAAGAGCTGAAGCTTATGCCTTAGCCCTATTGGCATTAAATGCTAATGCTGGTTCATCGCGTCTTTCACGACTCAGAAGAGAATTAAGAAATCTCGGTGTTTCATCTGA